TGTGTGGATTAACCAGCAGATTTGCCCCGTGTGATAATGTCCTAGGAGAGATATAACTCTTAATCCAAATCGGTGTATAAAATTTACAATTCAATTTGCTTTCCTCTAGATAAATATCTATCTATCTATAATAATAATAATAATAATAATAGTTTTTATTTGTATTTTCCCGCCTCTCCCTGCAGATCGAGGTGGGATTACAGAGAAATATAAAAAATACAATATATAAAATACAATATATAAAATCATAACAATAATAAAAAACCCACAATCCATATAATAAAATCCAATACTCAATCATGTGCACAGATTGGTAATCTATATCTATATCTATTCCTTCAGCAGAAGTTACAGTATTAAAAACCTATGGAATGGACAAATTAACAATTCTAATCAAGGACAAATCACTAAAAAAAATTCAAAGAAGATTGGAAAAATGTGAAAGAATATCAGAGAGAAAAATGGGCAGAACCAGTAGCTAAAATTTAATGGGCTGAGGGAGAGAGAATACAAGTTAGGTAATAGGAAAGACAAGCTACATACAGGAGGAATACATGGTGGATTAATATTTTGGTAAAACGGGGGAAACGTAGATTTGGATTTGACTTACAACTTCATATTAGGTAGAATAACAAGAAAGGAAGTGCTGATAAAGAAGAAACAAGGTAAAGGATAAAGCGGATAAATTGAGTCCTGCAAGGTACAATGAAATGTGTAAGGGAGAGGGGATTTAAATGTGTAATAAAAATCACACTGTGAAATAAAAACACGCTGAGGAAGGGGAACACAAATGGAACAATGGATGTTTCCCCCTCCTTTTTATGAGATGAAATATTTTTGTTCAACTTTTTAAAATAAAGAAGAATGAATATATATATGTTCAGATACTAGAATCCAGAGTGGATTTACTAGCGCATTAACATGGAGGCCACCAGCCACCTCTGCCCATATTTTGAGAGACGGATCAGCACTCTTGTCTGCGTTTGTGGGCTTTACTTGGGGGCTTTGCTATGGGGATTGTCATGATGAATGGCGATGGTGGTTGTTAACTACCTTCAAGTCAATTCAGGCTCATGGAAATCCTGTGGATGGTCATCTCCAAGACTCCCTGTCCTCTGCTGCTCTGCTCAGGTCCTGCAAATTCAGACCTATGGCCTCCTTAATAGAGTCCATCCATCTAGCATGGGGTCTTTCTCTCCTTCTTCATCTCTCCACCTTCCCAAGCATCATTGCCTTTTCCAATGAGCCATGCCGTCTTATGATGTGTCCAAAGTACAACAGCCTCAGTTTGGTCCTCTTGGCTTCTTCCAGGGAGGTTTCCAGCTTGATCTGCTCTGGGACCCCTTGGTTTGTCCTTTTGGCTCTCCATGGGATCCTCCTCACGCTTCTCCAGAAACACATTCTCTCAAATTTTCTTCCTATCCACTTTCTTTGCTGTCCAGCTCTCATATCTGTATAAGATAATAGGGAATACAATGGCATGCATTATTTGGACTTTAATGGTCAGTTGTATATCTTGACTCTTTAGGATCTTTTCTAGTTCTTTCACAGTCCTTCCCATTCCTAGTCTTCTTCCTATTTCTTACACTTCAACAATTAACCCTTTCGCCACTGACTCCCTGGGTTCACTGAAGGAACATGAGGACATAGTATAGGAAGAAACAACCAAGGATGTCCATCTTCTGGATCATGGTTGAGTTTTTCTCCTGGCAATCTGGAGATCGGACAAGAGCTTGGCTCAGTTGCTCCTTTGAGCCCGGAAGGAGGCTGGCAGGACATAACCGTAAAGGTGGGTCAGTTTCTTTTCCTCCTAATGAACTCAGACACGTCCTTCCAAATACCAGGCCATGATATATTTCCTGTACAGCAGCTGTTCCACAAACACATTTTATAGGCTATTAATAATCTGAGATCTAATAGAGATTTTCCTGTAAAGAGCTGACCTGCCATTAAACCATGTTTAAAGGCTCAGATCAGAGTGTGGGCATCCCAAATGTTTCATCTCCTTGGTAAGCAGTTCCTGGTCCCTTCAAACAATTCTATCCTTTATTATATTACTGTGCTATTAAATTGTAAGCCACTGTAAGTCCCAGTTTTGGGAAGAAAGCAGGATATAAATAAATGATGATGAGGATGATGATGATGATGTCTGGAAATGTTTTCCCAAATTAATCTCTTCCCGGACCCTCTGCAGGGCTACAGATAAATGGAAGAGTTTGCAAGAATGTCATGGGGCATAATGTGAACCTGTGGTTGAGTTGCCGATTTACTGTTATTGTTTTATTGTTTTATTGCATTGTGTATTTTAAGTCCTTAAAGTTTAATTCTGTTTTAAGGGGATGGGAGGGTTGGATTGTGGGATGAGGGAATGTTTTAATTCTGTTTGTTTTAATATGCTGTAACCCGCCCCGATTGCCACGCAGAGGGGCGGGCTATAAATAAATTATTATTATTATTATTATTATTATTATTATTATTATTATTATTATTATTATTATTATTATTGTGTGGGTTCTTTATTTTGGTAAGTGTGGCCTGATTCCAATTCAGGTTTGATGGACAGGTTTAAAACAGTAACATTAATAGATGGATTTAACATAGCATGACAATATAATACAGGTTGAGTCTCCCTTATCTGGAATTCCGAAATCTGAAATATTCCAAAACTGTCCATATGGGTGGCTGAGACAGTGACACTTTTGCTTTCTGATGGTTGAATGTGCCCAAACTTTGCCTCATGCACAAAATTATTTACATTATTTTGTATAAAATAACTTTCAGTCTATGCGTATAAGGAAAATGTTGTTTTGTGCCTTCAAGTCATTTCTGACTTATGGTGACCCTAAGGCAACTCATGAGGTTTTCTTGACAAGATTTGTTCAAAGGAGGTTTACCATTGCCTTCCCCTGAGGCTGAGAACATGTGACTTGCCCAAGGTCACCCAGTGGGATCATGGCTGAGCTGAGACTTGAACCCTGGTCTCTGGAGTTGTAGTCCAACACTCAAACCACTGTGCCCTACTGAATCAAAACATAAATGAATTTCATTCATTGGATTTCATTCCCATCTCAAAGATACCGCATCATGTATAGTCGGACCTCCCCCAATACGAAAATGGATGGCCATCTGTCGGGGATGCTTTGATTGGGAGTTCCTGCATGGCAGAATGGGGTTGGACTGGATGGCCCTTGTGGTCTCTTCCAACTCTATGATTCTATGATTCTATGAAAAAACATGGGCCCTCAAGTCCCATTGTCCCTAATTGTGACGACAATGGGGCTTGCAGTCTGTGGATGCTCAAATCTGTGGATGGCAAGCCTGCGGATGGCGAGGCCCCACTGTATATGCTAGTATTCCAAAATCAGAAAAAATCCAAAATCCAAAATACCTTTGATCCCATGCATTTCAAATATGGGAGCCTCAATCTATAAACT